TTCAGCAGACTGGAGTATCAGGGGAAAGGAAATATGGAATAGGAGGCTCATTGGTCATAACCACCACTCTGTTAGGTTTCAAGAGAAAAGGGTAAAAAGAATTTTAGAGATCTGTCTATAACTCGGTCCAAATAGGCATTCCAAGCAGAAGCCCCAGGTGAGTATAATGAGAATGTGTAGCCGAGGTTTCCCAGCATGTGGGATCATACAGTTATGGCGGTGGGCAACAACCAGGCAGGATTTCATAAGCAGGAATTCTGGTCTCCTTTGACAGAACTAAAAGAACAAACCTTAGAGATATTTTGGTCCAATTCTGTAACTTGACAAAAAAGGAAGGTGAGGACCTGAGAGAATGTAAGTATGCATTAGATCCTGTTCCAGTTACCTATTACTGCATAAGCAATCACCCAAAAAACTCAGTAGCTTCAAACGACAACCATCCTTTGTAACTATGTGTGGAGATGGATGTTAACTAGACTTACTGCAGTGAGCATTTCGGAGGATAAACAAATATAAAATCATTATGTTGTATGCCTGAAATTAATGTAATGTAATACATCAATTATATCTCAATTAAAAAACAAAAAAAACGAAAGAAACGACCACCGCCATTTATTGTCTCTCCCGGTTCTGGGGTTAATGGGGCTCAGCTGAGGTTATCACTCAGGGTTCCTTGTGTAGCTGCAGCCAGATGGTTGAGGCAGGGGTTATCGGGACGGCTTCTTCACTCACGTCTGATGGCTGTTCCTGAGCGTGGCTGGGGCTATCAGCCAGAATGCTACGACTCAGGGCCTCTTCATGTGGCCTGGCCTTCCTCACAGAACGGGGACAGGCAGAAGGTGCATCCCCTTTTATAAGCCCACTCCTTAAGTCTGTGTGTACAGTACCAATTAAGCTGTGGTCACAGACCCACCCAGATTCAAGGCCAGGGCAGTGGGGCACAGAGACACACACACATACCACAACTCTCCATGGGAGGAGTATCAACATCACGCTGTAAGAAGAGAATGTGGAGATCTTGTTGCAACCATGTGGAATACACGCTTTGCACAGATGCCCTTCCTACAGGGTTCCTCCCTGCAAACCCTTATCGTGGCACTTATCACACTGTGGGAAACTGCTTATTTATGAGCCTACGTGAGCTCCACTACAGAATGAGCTCCTTAGGAGAAATAACTGGACCATTAGAGTAATCTCGTGCTCCTGGCATTTAGCAGGTGCTCAAAAAATTATCTAATGAATCAATGAACAAACAAAAAATTTGGACTTAAAGAAATATTTTGAAGTGTTTCTAAAGAATCTATAAAAGTTCCTTTATCAAAATCTCTCAGGCTGGGTCAACTTAAGACCATCAGCTTGGAGAACTGTTACTATCTGTAAGTTTTGTTAACAACATATTCTCATCTTTAACTAATCTATCTTTAGGTAAATAATCTATCTCTAGGTAACTAGTCTATCTCTAGGTAACTAACCTATCTCTGGGTAACTAACCTATCTCTAGGTAACTAACCTATCTCTGGGTAACTAACCTATCTCTGGGTAACTAATCTATCTGTGGGTAACTAGTCTATCTCTAGGTAACTAGTCTATCTCTGGGTAATCTATCTCTGGGTAACGGATCTATCTCTGGGTAACGAATCTATCTCTGGGTAATGAATCTATCTCTGGGTAACTAACCTATCTTTGGGTAACTAATCTATCTCTAGGTAACTAATCTATCTCTGCTACTAACTCATACATACCCAACAGCTTAAAATGTATCAGCAACACAAAATGCTCATCTTAACATATATTCAGAATAACTTGTGGATTTCTTATTTTCCCCTCAAAATTGGTGGGATACTTTATGACAAGTGCCCTTAAAAGGAAATTTACGTATAACACCAATGTTGCTACATATGCCATAGGAAACAGTTTAAAACTACTCCAAGAACTCGGGGCACTTAAGTGCAAACATACAATTTTAAAGTATTTTTATTCATAAATTATATATTTTTGCATCATGTTATTGGATATAGGTTATTCAAACCTAAATTATCACTGTACAGTCAACTTTTCTTTTTCTTGTCAGCAAAGAAAACCAAGATGAAATAAAATTATATAAAAACTTGAAAATTAGTTAAGCTGTTCCCTGGCCTAACAAGGCACCCATGGGTATTCAATGCACTAAAGTGCTTGTCTTAAGAATGCTGTGCATTGCAGTACACAATCCTTCCAATTTCACTACTGTCCCAAATATCGTCAGGCAGTCCTTTATTGGTTGAGACACTGGGTATGATTCTGTTTTGATCACTTTCCTCACAAAGCATCATCAATCATTAACCCTGCAAACAAGGACTGATGCTCACCAGCAGAACTTACCAATTAATATCTGACCACTCTTCATAGCAGATCCTCCTGGCAGCAGGCCATGGACCACAAGCTTCTCTCCACTGCCCTGTTTTCCACTTCTTCTCCAGCTCCACTTGGTCTGATGGATAATCCCAATCAGTACTTCCAGAAGCTTGAGCTGCTCTTTGGCTTTGGTGACGGTTAGCTTTTTGGGGTTCACGTAAACGTTCACGTCTTTGTACCGCTGTTGGACAACAACTCCTGTTTTCTGATTGGACTGATGCTTTAGAATGGATACTGGCCCACTGGCATTGCTATTTTTTTTATTATAACGCTTGGGTAAAAGTTTTTTACTTTTTAAAATCTTGGTAAACCGCTTCAGTTTGGGTTCATACTTTTTTCCTTCTTTGTAATCATCCTCTTCAATAATAATCTCGTTTTCGCTGAACCTGACATGGTTCACAGTAGGTGTCTCAGGAAGAAGGCTTTCTTCTTCATCCTCACTCAACTCCAAATAAAATAGCTCTCCATTCTTCTGCACACTGTCCAGCCATTCAGGCTCCAGGTCACTGTGAAAAAGAGAAAAGATAATCTAAATCGCAGCCAAACATGGGAAAAACAGTTATGCCTTTCTGGCAGGTGGGTGAGGGTAGGGGTTGGGGTGCAGGGAGACGGGAAGGGTGAAAGTTCTTTAATTATTTCAGAGTCTCCTCACTGATTCTAATTTATTGTGAGCATCAACATTATTTCCTGTAGAATGGTTTTTGTAGAGCCTTGAAGAACTGGGGTTGGAGGAGATGGAATCAAAATGGCATAGTGATAGAAAAGAAAACAAATTAAAAAAGAGATGGCCCCCTTCTAGAATCTAAGGTTCTATTTTGCTTTTTAAACTTAATTCAGTCCCTGTGTGGTTACTGTTCACTTTAGACAATTTCACTGGACAATGATTTACATTAGTAGTTGATTATACAATTATATCCACAGATGTGAGACATTCAGAAATTGCACATAAAATCATCCTATTTGCAAAGAAATTATTCAGCATGGCTGACACGTTAAAACAAAAGTGAAAGCCTACCAGTATTAAAAGACTTTGTTTATATAATAAGTTTTCAAAAAAGGAACATTCACCCACCACGAACTAAAATCTTTGCTGAAAACAACTAGTTTGTAATAATCACAGTTAATAATAATCACTTCTGTAGCCTATAATTTCATAAAATTCCTTTTAACGAATAATTGTAGTAAGAAAAGTAAACCACACATTACATGATTCATCATGTGATTATAAAAAACTTTTAACTGGGAAGTAGGCCATTGAAAAACACAAAATTATTATTATTAAAATGATTCAAAGAGCATTAAAAAACAAAAATACCCATCTTAGGGTAACAGACCTAACCACAAACTCTACCCTGTTCAATGTTACGAACAGTTTACCTTTCAAACTGCTATTCTTTAAAGCAAAACTGGTTACAGTGGAAGAACTAACATGTGGAGATTTTTCAGAAACATGAGCTGTAATGTCCTGGCACGATATAATTTGTGTTCTAATCATTCAATCAGTTAGAAGACATCTGTTTTCTGCAGTGTTTATTAGCAATCCTGGTTCTTTTAATTTAGAAGTCAAGTGTCTCTTTCTAAATACTGTGAAAATTCATCCAAAAAATGCACTATTCTATTAATCAGAAACTAACCACTACGCTGGTCTGTAGTTGGTAATTAACATAGAATTTTCAACTATATATGAATGGTTAAAAAAAAAAAAGGCATAACTATCCCCAGATATCAAAACTAACATTTCTTTGGCACTTGCTGGTTCCCAGTGTGTGGCATCATTTTAGGCACTTAGCACTACTTACTATGGATTATTCACCATATCAGTTGTTTTGACTATATCTGTCTGTACCTGCAGAAATCAGTATTTAATATCTCTGTAGTTTTACTCTGATGAGTCTAAATAACTGTGTCCCCACCATAAAAAATTTAGATAACAACGTACCATAATTTAAAATGGCACAGGGACTTCTCTGGTGGTCCAGTGGTTAAGAATCCATCTTGTAATGCAGGGGACGCTGGTTTGATCCCTGGTCAGGGAACTAAGATCCCACATGCCACAGGGCAACTAAGTCCACACACCACAACTAGAGAGACCGTGTACCACAACTACAGAGCCCACATGCTCTGGAGCCTGCATGCTACAACTAGAGAGAAGCCCACGTAGTGCAAGGAAGAGCCTGCGCATTGCAACAAAAAATCCCGCCTGCCACAACCAAGACCTGACGCAGCCAAAAGATTAATTAATTAATTAATTAAAAATAAAATGGCGCAATAAAAATATCATAATTAAACACAATTACTTATGAAGATATATATTAATTAGAAAATGAATGAAATTTCCTTGCTTTATAATCTCACCCTTTTAATCTGGTCTGTCGTTTGTATGAGAGATATGTGATGCCAAAGAAGCATTTTTCCCTCTCTGCTAAACATGAAGATGGTTCACCTAATTCTCTAAAATTTGGAATTTATACTTTTTTTTGGGGGGGGAGGCAGTGTGGTATGGCATGCAGGATCTTAGTTCCCCACCAGGGATTAAACCTGGGCCCCCTGCAGTGGAAGTGCAGAGTCTTAACCACTGGACCACCAGGGAAATCACTTATTCTCTAAAATATGAATGCGAAACCACTTTTTGGTTATGATTTAAAGATCCCTGCAGGTGGAGGTGCCACAGGGGGTGGCATTCCGTTGTAGAACAAATAAACAGTGCCAGGCATGGTGGACAGTACTGGAATTACAAAGATGAATGAAAACCTCAGTTCCTTCCCTTGTCTAGTGGGGAAGAGAAACTGAGAAGGAATTCATGACAATACACATAGTAGGTGCAAAAGAGAGGTCATCCAGCTTAGCCTGGGGTTGAGGATGAGGTCAAGGGAGACTTTCTGGTAGAGGAGACCCCAGAGGTGAGTTTTAAAGCAACAAGTGTCTGGGGAGGAGGGCTTGGGGAGCTGAGGGGGAAGACAAGAAGAGAATCCCAAGCAGAAGTACCAGCACAAGCAAAGGCCTTGAGGGGTAGTCCCCATGGCCTATGTGGATAACTAAAGCTAGTCTGCGGTTGCCAGAGTGGAGGTGGTGAGGTAGGGAATGACAGGAGGAGTCTAATTTTGCAAGTTGTAATTTTGCAAGCCCTTTTGGACCCTGGCAAAGGGTTTGGGTTTTGTTGTGTAGGTAAGAGAACATCAATGAAGAGTTTTAGGTAGAGGGGTTTACATGTTAGAAATCCCTGAATAGATCTACTTTGACAGGACAATAGAAGAAGTAATTGAGGTGGACAAGATTTAAGATAAGAGGCCAGGGGCTTCCCTGGTGGCCCAGTGGTTGAGAATTCTCCTGCCAATTCAGGGGACACGGGTTCGAGCCCTGGTCAGGGAAGGTCCCACACGTCGCGGAGCAACTAAGCCCATGTGCCACAACTGAAGCCCGCGCGCCTAGAGCCCATGCTTCACAACAAGAGAAGCCACCACAATGAGAAGCCTGCACACAACTACGAGTAGCTCCCGCTCGCCGCAACTAGAGAAAGCCCATGCAGCAACGAAGACGCAACGCAGCCAAAAATAAATAAATTAATTAATTTATAAAAAAGATAAGAGGCCATTTAGAGGGCTGTTTCTGTAGTCCAAGCAAAGATGATAACTAAGGCAATTGTAGAGGAAATGGAAAGTAGGAAAAACATTTGAGAAATGCTTGAAAATCACCAGGACGTTGAGACTGATTAGATGCAATGATGAGGGAGAGGAAAGAACTGGTGTTGACTAGATTCCTAGTTGGTGACTGTACTTTCATGCACACATAAGCACAGACTCATTTTATATAAATGGGCACGTAATTATCATACCTGTCATTCTCCCTTCCTACCTTTCACTGACATGTTAAAAATCTGTGTCCTAAACAAGGTCCTACTGTATAGCACAGGGAACTACTGATATATTCAATATCCTGTGATAAAGCAGGAAAAGAATATGAAAAACAATAATGGAAAAGAATATGAAAAACAATATAGATATATATGTATAACTGAATCACTTTGCTGTACACCAAAAACAAATATCGTAAATCAACTATACTTCAATAAAAAAAATTTTTTTAATCTGTGTTCTTATAATCATATAAAACATATATAGGGTTGTTACTGTTTGTTTTGAAAAAGTGAGTGGAATCTATATACACACACACACACACACACACATCCCTTTATCATTTATCACTAAAAAAACAATTTAAAAACCTCTAATGCCTACATTAAGGGACGTAGCATGAGGGATGTAGCACATTTGGTCACTCACCTACTGATAAGCTTTGTGTTCACTTTTTTTTTCTTTTTTTGCCCCTATGGACAACAATACAGTAACCATTCTTTTATGTAGGGGTATAGATAGATAGATAGATAGATAGATAGATAGATAGATAGATGTCTTTACCCTAAGACTATACCAATTCACATTTCCACCAGCAATGAATGAGATCCACTTTCTTAAGCTCTATATTTAAAAAATATTTCACTTTAGGCAGAAGAAATTTTTTTAAAAAGGGAGAAATTAAAAAGGGAGAAAAGAGACAGGAATAAAGATAAGGAAATGAACACAGGAAACTGAAAAAGAAGACAAAACATACAGTAAAAAGAAAATGACCTGAGAGGTCACAGACCTTGGTTCAAACACTGTTCTATTGAGATTTTCACTTTTCTAAGCTTTAGGTTTCCTTTTCCAGAAAACAGATTATAGCTACCTCACAGGGCTGTTATCAACAGCAAATAAAATAATGTGCCTGGCATGGTAAAGGCCAAATAAATGACAGTTCCCATCCTCTTGCACCACAGTCAGAACTGGAGAGAAACTTACACCTTTATTAGGTATAGCTCCTGTACTTCTGCACTTTTCCAACCCCTAGCAATAAATGAAGATGCCTCCAATGATCTCTATTTACTAGATTCCAGGCTAAGTGCTGGTAACATATGAACCAAAACTAGATACTGCCTTTAAGGCCACAGTTCAGGATTCCCAGAAGGTTCCTTATTCCTACTACAGGTGATTACTTCCTATTTAGAAAAACATCAAGAGCATAACTGATTAACGTATCAGAAAGTTTAACAGAGTTGGAAAGTCTGTACTCTCAAACTAGTTCTATTAGAATGGAGGGGGTGTATTAAAAACAACAATAAAACAAAACCGCCAACTTTTCATTGTAACTATTTATTAATAATGAAAATAATATTATATATAGACACTCTTCACTCCAGGAGATGGAGCTTAATCTTTCCTCCTCTTTAGTGTAGACTGGACTCAGTGACATGCTTTCAAAGAACAGAGTATGGAAAGTGAAAAACAGTGACTTCACAGTGAAGAAACCTGGCAGACATCACCTTAACCAAGTGATCAAGGTTATGAAAAACAAGGAAGGACTGAGAAACTACTGCAGACCAGAGGAGACTTAATGATTAAATGCCATATGATACCCTGGATTGGATCCAGGAACAGAAAAAGGACATAAGTAGGGGAATGGTGAAATCTGA